CACAGCAAAATGGGCTGCATGATGCCCCTGGCTCAGCCATTCACCCACCCGCCCCCAGGACTTACGGGCTCCCCCGGCCACAGCTTTCTTGTCCCCTGTGCCATCTGCACCCAGTGGCTCCTGCAGGCTGCGGTGGCAGGCCAGCTGGTCGGCCAGTGCCCGGCGAGTGACGAGCACGTTCTGTAGGAACTGGAGCGAGGAAAGGAGCAAAACCATCTCAGCCCCAAGCCCAGCCTGGGCCCACACCCACCTTAGGCTGGGTAAACCACTCCCTGTCGGCCTGCGGTTACCTCGCTCTGCAGCCCAGTGGAGACCACAGCGGGGCGGCACATGCCGGCGGCTCCCAGCAGCAGCGGGGGCGCAGGGCAGCGCAGGTCCCAGAGCGGGTAGTTGACAAAGATGAGCTTGCTGAAGTTGAACTTGTAGGTGAAGCGCTTGCCCTTAGTCTTGTGCAGGATCCGCTTGTTGTAATAATACCTGGGGGAGACAGGAGCCCGGAGAGACAGTGCGAGGGAAGGAAGGACAGATGGACTGTCAGTGCTGATGGAGAGGAAGATTTGCACTAAGGGAGTCCTATAAACCCTCCCCCAGGGTGAGGACCAGCAACAGGGGAGTCTGGCCATGGCTGGGCAACAGCACTGGTACCTGCCTGCCTTGGGTCTGCCAGCCCAGGGCATCCCACTGTGCCTGGGAGGAAGAAAGGGAGAGGGGTACCAAAGGAGAGAGGAAGGAAAGCAGGAGCTGGAGAGGACACTTCTTCTCTCCCCTGCACCATTCCTTCCTTCCTGGCTCCCAGGGGTTGGGCTGAGTCTGGTCCTCCCTGAGCCCCTCCAGGTTAGGGCCCAGCTAAATCCCAGCTGTCGCTCACTTCCAAAGTGATAGGCCATGCATGGCCCTGGAGCTGAGCACACTTCCACAAGGATCAGGCCCAGAGATGAGCCCGGTTGCTTTGTCTGACCCAGTACCCAGGCTGCAGGACTTCCCAGGGGTACTGCTACAAGGGAACCCCAGACCAAGCCTCTGGGCAGCGCTGCCCCTGCCTCGCACCTGAGCGCCCGGCTCAGCTTGTCATAGTTCATCTGGGGCTTGCATTTCCTCCGGCCCCACAGCCGTGCCACCTCGTCGGGGTCCTTGATCACGAACTCGCCGTACTCGCCCTGCTGCCAGGCGATGACGTGCCGGAACTCCTCCTTCTGCAGCAGCTCCAGGATGAAATGCCACAGCTGGATCTGGCGGGAGCCAGGGCTGGACTCTGCCTTGTAGGCCCAGTCGGGGAACGCCAGCCCTGTAGAGCAAGCGGGAGCACAGGTGGACCCCGGGGACAGTGCTATGCATGCACCATTCCTACCCATCTTCCCCCGCCACCAATGGGATGCAGCTTTGTGTGCAGCTGGTAGACAGGTGCCATGTGCCACCCCAGAGCTGGCTGCATTTCAGCGCTGGGCATGCAATTCCTGTGTGGCATTGTGTGTGGTTGTTAACCAGCTGCCTATCCATGTTGGAGGGAAACAACTCCCTCTGCAAAGTGCTTTGGGAGAGGCAGGGGCTCAGGACATCAGAACTGGACCCAGAGCTCCAAGTTTGCCCCCAGGATACCGACCATCTCCATGGGGGGAAGAAAGGAGCTGGCTCCCATTCTCACCTGAGATCCAGTAGGAGCTGGGAACTGCTGGCATGCCCTCTGCTACGCAGCTACACTGCATCTCGCCAACCTGGAGAGCACAAAGGCAAAGCCATCACTGCAGGGGAAGGGGCTGCCTGGGAACAGGAGCTGCCAGCAGCCCCGGGAGGGCAGCGTGGGTGGAAGTGCTCTTCGCCCGTTCAAGCAGAGGGTGCTGGGAGCCAGGACTCCCGGGTTGTCCTGGAACAGAGGGGGTCTGGTGCTACAGCAAGGGGTAGCATGGAGGGGGCAGAGATCAGGACTCCTGGGTCCTGTCTCTGGCTCTTGCACAGTCTTTCTCTCAGTCCTGTCTAGGGCAAGCAGTGAGCAAGGGGAATTTATCTGCTCTGAAGGGCAGAATGTTTCTAGAGCAGAGTGGCAAGAATGGGACCAGGGAGCCCAGCTGGAGAGTGCCCCAGAGTACCCTATTTCCCCAGGTCGGCATCTCCAGTTTGTGTGCAAAGATTTCTCTGCTTCGGTCTCCATTGCAATCTGAAGAGCGGGTTTCCTTTTCCCCGCCGTGACCAGTTTCACTTCAGCAGAATGGGCTTTTCTATCAGAAAACTCCTTTTTCTGGGGAGGTGGGAGGGGGGAAGGGATGTAATGACTGATACCTTTCTTTTTATCTCCCCAGACCACATAAGGAACAATAAAACACCCCCAGCACCAAACCCTCCGCTCCCCCCCCAAATTCACTAGCCAGCTCAGAGTGGACGAGAACAAGCAGGGCGATGTGGGTTCGGATCTGAACATGCTTCTTTGACAACCCCAGGCCATGAAACCTAAAGGTCTGGGGAGCTCTCAGGTCTCCACTTCCCTGGCTGCTGAGACGTGGGTCTCCGGGGAAAGTTTCAGCTGGAAACTATTGTGGGTGGGATGGAACGAATGAGAGCGTGAGGGTTTTAGGAAAATTCATCATCCTATATATAGGAAGAGCAAGGGTTAATTTTAAATCTTCTTACCCCTCTGCCAGGGAAGAGACAGAAAGCTAATGAAAGGGGAGTGGGGAGAGAAAAAGAGAAACTTCCCTGATTCATGGATTTGGAAGAATTGGGGACTGTTCTGCTGGATTGGGGGTTGGAATAGATGACCTCCTGAGTTCCCTTCCAACCTTAATTTTCTATAATTTTCTATAATTTTCCTACAGAAAACCATTAGACCCGCTCACTTGCCCAGCAAAGGCACGTGCTGGGCAGGAGAGCAGCAAAGGGCAACTCTGGCTTGAATTCGAGACATTTAAGGCCTGAAACGGAGACGATGAGAGAAGAGAAGGGCTCAGGAGATTTCATACCTCTGACCACACCAATATATCCTAGCAAGAGCCAGTGGCTCTCACTTTCCTCATCCACAGGGAAGCAAAGCCAGGTCCCATCTCCCCACGTTTAAACCCACGAGAACCAAGAGTAAATCTGCTCCGATGTATAAAGGTTGCCAAGATGTGGCTCTATTTTCTTGGACGCTTGCTTTTCCTCTTTGCCACCAGGTTGACTGCATGGCTTTTATAAATACCTGTTTCCAAGCCCCTTTGCACCCCCTGAATGAAAACTCAGCCAGGGGAAAAGACATCCATGGCCTCTGCTCTACGTCCTCTGAATCCTCTCCTCCCAAGTCAATGCTTTCCTTTCCTCCCATGGTCTCCCCTTTATTTTCTAGAAAGGTTCAAATCAGCTGGTTTGACAGGGAGAGAAAAGGGGGGAAAAAACCACTGTAAAATATTTTGGATTCATTCCTAATATCCAACAAAAGCCAGGCTGGTGAGGCAGCATCTCAGCAAAGGAATGGCACGGGGGGAAAGAGAACAGCGTGGAAACAGCCCTGTCAGTTCAACCATCCAGCGGAGGAGAGGTGCTTGGGACCAGCAGGATCCCAGAGGAGAGAAACCACTGGAGAACAATTATCTCTTTTCTGGTTGTTTTGTACCCGCTCGGCCGTGGTGTGAGGCTGCTGCCGGGGGTCAGAGGCTAGAGTCCTGGGCCCTACGAAGTGAAGCCTCACCCCTCGCCCGTGTTGCTCTGCCAGCTTCCCCTGGACTCGTTCGGCCCCTAAAGACCCCTGTTTCTGCAGACAGGGCAGTGAGGAGAGGTGAAGCATGGGGAGCTGGCGGCTTTTTGTACAGAGCAAGGAGGATGGACAAAAATCAGCTGGCCCAAAACAACCCCCTGCTTGCACCCCTCAGACGTCCCCTACCCGGGGGAGAGCTCTATCCCCAGATCCCAGGATCTGTCCCTCTCCAGGGAGGCAGCCAGGCAGCAGGTCCGTATCCCCCGGCTGCTTCCCTGTGGCTTTCAGCCTCTGTGAGCATCTGTCCCCGATTGCTGCTGTCTCGAACCAGCTCCTGTCCCCGCTAGAGCCCAAAATGCCTGCCGTGGCTCAGATTCACTCCCATGTCCACCTGCTAGCACTGCGCAACTTGTTTGGGGTTCCCTTTCTTCCCACCTGCCCCCAGACATGACCTTCACCCACCCACCTCTCTGCTCAGACACCATCCTCACGGGGCATTTTGTGGATCTGGGGGGCAAGCTGGAACCACAGGGGCATGATTCCCTGTGCCCACATTCAAGCAGGCCCCCAAGGACCCCGGCCCAGCTCCAAGGGTGGTGCATGGGGCCTCTGTGAAGCAAAGCCCTGATCCAGGGGTGGAGAGAGCACGTCGCTATCTGCCGAGCCTGGGAAAGAACCCAGGAGTTGTGGCTCCCCTTCCCTCGTGGCTGGTGCCACGGTACATCAGTGCAAACCCGAAGCAGCTCCAGCAGAGCCAGTGGTGTGGGCATGGAGGACCGGGAGGGGGCATTCCCCTCCCCCTGTGCTGACTACTCACTCCCCAGCTCCGGGTCTCTCGGGGAAGTGGGATTTAAAAGGCTTTTGTACCGCGGCTGTACAGAAACCTTACACGCGGGGCGGGAGGGGGAGAGGAGAAGGAAGGTCAGGTTGGAAAGTCAAAGGCCTGGAAAAACCTGCAGGCCAGCCCCAAAGGGTGGGGCGAGGGCAGGGGGACCCTGGGTCACATTGGAGGGGCAAAGCCCCTGACTGAGCCAGGCCTGAGCCAGGCTGTCCCCCTTTCTTTGCTTGCTCCTCCATCCATCTCCCCGCTTGCCCCAATGGGAAGTGCGGCCAGTACCCAGAGCTGCTAACACAAGCTCCCCAGTGCCCCCGTTCCTGGGGGAGAGGTGGGGGGGGTATGAAGCCTTGAAGGCAGGACAAATGCCTAATGGACAAATGCTTAATGAGGTTCGTTAGCATGTGGACTCCCAGCCCATGGTCCCCAGGGCAGCACCAGGGACTAGGTGGGGATGGACTGGGAGTAGCTGCTATGCAAGAGCCCAGGGACCAGCTCCCATCCCAAAGAGCTGGTGGCCTGGGCACACAAGAGACAGGGAAGCAACCAGCCCCAGTTGCCCTGAGCTGCCTCTCCTGACCCCCGGCCCATTGCCCTCCCTGTAAGAATTGGCTGCAACCGGCCAAACGAGAAAGCCAAGCCAGAGGCAGGAGGCTGAGGACAGGGACTCAGCACAGGGTAGGGAGATCAGAGCAGCCTGGGGGCAACAGCCCTGTAAAGTGATGCTTAAACCTTCTCTGCTCCTGCCCTCCTTGCTGCGCCCATGTGAGCTGGGCATGGGGGCAGCTCCATCACTTCCCTCTGGGAGTCAAACCACATGCTCGGGGCTTGGTGGCAGAGGGCACCGGGCAGCCTGGCTGCAGAGAAGTGCCCTTCTGACCTCTGCCCTGGGCTCCTGGCGGTGCTGGACTGTGATCTTTGCACGCATTAGCCACCGCTATCTACTAAGCCCTGCTCTAAGGCTTGAGGGCTTTCCCCAGCTATGCAAATTCCTCCCGAAGGGGGCACAAATGCAGCCAGAGATGCAGTCCGTCAAGGGGGAGAAACCTGCCTGGGACACCCTGTAGCCTCCCTCCCGGCAGCTGCCAGCTCCTGCAGAGGCAGAAGGCAAAGCCCTGGCCTGAGCGGACAAGAGCTCTGATTTTTAACGAGTGCTGTGCTCTAACTATGGCAACCCCAGATGGGCCCAGTTCGCCCGTCCGCTCCCCCTTGCTCACAGCGGGACAGCAGCTGGTGGGGAGGAAGCACGCTGTGCTGAGGCTGCCGATACATCCCAGCTGAGATCTAGGCTGTCTTGATCGCAGGAGACCCCTCCGCACACACTTCCAGCAGGACGGGTCCGAACAGAAGTCTGGAGGTGGCACCCCCTGGAAATGCCTCCCAATGGAGCCACTGCCGGCACTGGCCTATCCCCACCCTGCCACGGGTGCACCCGCCGGAGAGACATCTCTCTGTAGGGTTCCTGATGCTTCTCAAGAGCATGTCACTCCTGCCCAGGGAAAGTGCTGCATGGGGTCATTTCACCTGCTCCCTTTTCCAGGGATGGTTCGTGTCCCTCCCTTTCCCACAGGGACCCCCGCCTGGCTTGGCACCTGCAGTGTCATGGCATGCCTGTGGCTGGCAGCATCCAGAAAGTGCCCAGTGGTGTGAAATCCCTGGTCCTGCTCCAGCGGTGTGAAATCCCCTCTGAACACCCCCTGCCGCATGGGTCTCCCCAAGGGTTACCAACCACGTCTCGTCACCAGCATCCCATGGACCCCTAGTCACTTGGGTGAGAGTCGAAGTGACTGGGAAAGCAGCACCCAGACCCCTCCAGGGACCCAGACGTGCCTGCTCCCATGGGTGGGAAACCAGCACTACCTTGTGAGCAGATTCGAGATGGCTTGGAGAGCGCAAGGGGGGTCTTACCTTGCGGAGGCACCTGCAGCTGTCCTGGCCGGCGTCGCTGGCCCGCACGCTCTGCCTGTCACGCCGGCCCCGTGCATTTCATCACATGCTGCGTTGGGGTTACTTAGAATGAAAGCCCAGTCCTCGGTGCTCCCAGGGGGCTCGGCACGCTGCGGCTGCAGAGACAATCGTGTTAACCCCTCGCACAGCTCCGGCTGCCGACCCCCGCGCGCGTCGACTGCCTGCGGGGAGGGGACACTGGGCGAATGCGGTGCCTTTCTCTCCACCCCCTGCTCCATCCCAGGCATGACTCCCCTCCGAGGTGCCATGCTTTCCGCTGTACCCTATGCATAGGGGTAGTCACCCACTGGCCTCCCCACCTTGTAGAGGGGCACAGAACAGGGCAGCGATGGGCTGGCCCTGGGGCAGAGCTGGGAGGAGAGCCCAGGTTGTGTCTAGCCACGCTGTAGCCACCTTGAAAGCACTCCTGCTCCGGGCAGCATCTCACAGGTGTGCCACTCTCTGGCCCTCACAGCTGGGGTGACCATGCCAGCAGGAGGGGTAGCGCTCACTGCTGCAATGCAGCTCATCCGGGCCAGCGCAGGCCCAGCTTGGAAGCTGCCACGCCACCGAGCACTCACCTTTCACTTCTGCCTGCGCTCTTCCCAGCCCCGGCTGGGATGTTGGCCCCCAGGGCCGGCTCTTCCAACTAATGGGTCACCTCATCACAGGCTGGCGTGGTGGGGAGCTCAACCCTGGGCTGCCAAGTGGTGGGGGTAGATGTGCTGCATTGCCACGTGTCGCTCTGAGCGAGTTCCTCCGGCCTTCAGTTCCCACTTATCCATGGGGGACAATGTCCCTTTGCCTATGTGGCCTGACTAGGCTGCAGCAACCTAGCAGGGACCATTTGCAGCACAGCCCCAGGATCAGTGGGGCTGACTGCGATGCCAGCCCTGGCACCGATAATGTGGGGAACTCGTGATGGACACCACCGGGGACCAGGCAGACAGACGCCCGGATGGAGGGAGGGATGGAGAGAAGACAGGGGCAGGCTGGGCTGGACTGGCCACATTCACACTCCAGCAGTGCAGCAGCTTGGGGCCGGTGGAGCGGTGAATCTGGGGCAAGGGGCTAGAGACAGGGTGACCTAAGAGCCAGCGCAGGCCAGAACTGCAAGGTCCCATCTGTGGAGCTGCCGAGACTGAAATCAGCCTCTGGACAGCCAGCCAACGGACTGGGGTCGAGTGGCCGGGGGGTAGGGACGCACTGACACCAAAGTCACTGGGGGAGCACGAGG